AATAAAAAATAGCAGCACACATGTGCAAAATTAAAAATATAAAATGTTGACAATTTACCCATCGCACCCTGTGTATGTATGTGCGTATGTATATACATATATATATATATATATATATATATATATAAAATGTGTGTGTGTTATATACAAGAATATGTATGGGGGAAATGTTACATAAATTTTTATATGTTAGAACAGCTTTAAGAAAATCAGTGATAATGTGCAAAATATTTTTGTGTAAGGCTTTATGACCATTAAAACTTCATCAAAATGAAGAGACAATTACATTGCTGTGATTACAAATGCAGAAAGGGATGCTAAAATTTTTAATTTAATTTCTTTCAAATTTAAAATAAAAAAAAAAAAAATTTAATTAAAAAATATTATTAAGACACAAAGTTTAATTAGAAAGAATCAATCCAGGACAATATAAACTAAGACACAAAAGTGTTACAATATAATTAGCCATTAATAATGACAAAGAGAAAAGGCATTCAGGACAATATTACAAAGGTTACAAGTGAAAGAAACATTAATAATGAGTAGAAAGAAAAATTCATAATATAGAGTAAGACAAAAGTGTTACAAGAAAAATTAGGAATAGAAACATTCAGGAAAAGAGCATTCATATAGCCACTAAGACACAAAAGTGTTACAAGGTGTGGAAGAATTAGGAATAGAAACATTAATAATGAGTAGAAAGAAAAAGAGCATTCAGGACAAATAGCCACTAAGACACAAAGTGTTACAAGGTGTGGAAGAATTAGGAATAGAAACATTAATAACGAAGAAAGAGAAAAGAGCATTCAGGACAATATAGCCACTAAGACACAAAGTGTTACAAGGTGTGGAAGAATTAGGAATAGAAACATTAATAATGAGTAGAAAGAGAAAAGAGCATTCAGGACAATATAGCCACTAAGACACAAAGTGTTACAAGGTGTGGAAGAATTAGGAATAGAAACATTAATAATGAGTAGAAAGAGAAAAGAGCATTCAGGACAATATAGCCACTAAGACACAAAGTGTTACAAGGTGTGGAAGAATTAGGAATAGAAAGAGAAAAGAGCATTCAGGACAATATAGCCACTAAGACAAAAGTGTTACAAGGTGTGGAAGAATTAGGAATAGAAACATTAATAATGAGTAGGAAGAGAAAATTCAGGACAATATAGCCACTAAGACACAAAGTGTTACAAGGTGTGGAAGAATTAGGAATAGAAACATTAATAATGAGTAGAAAGAAAAAAGAGCATTCAGGACAATATAGCCACTAAGAAAAGTGTTACAAGGTGTGGAAGAATTCAGGAAAATATTAATAATGAGTAGAAAGAGAAAAGAGCATTCAGGACAATATAGCCACTAAGGCACAAAGTGTTACAAGGTGTGGAAGAATTAGGAATAGAAACATTAATAATGAGTAGAAAGAGAAAAGAGCATTCAGGACAATATAGCCACTAAGGCACAAAGTGTTACAAGGTGTGGAAGAATTAGGAATAGAAACATTAATAATGAGTAGAAAGAGAAAAGAGAAATTTGGAGGATAGTAGATAGTGATTGACATTGCATTTCAATTTTTGCAGATTAAAGTTGGCTGGAAAGCATGGAAGGGAGTTCCATAAGCAAGAAGTGCAAGAAAATAAACTGCTAGCATATAACTTTCGGCTACATCTCGTCAACTCAACTGTAAATTGATGAGATCCTGAGACCAGTCTAGTACTGTGCTTAAATTTAAAATGTCTAGGTGTCATAGTGAAAAGCTCATCAAAACAATTTCAATTAAAGTATTTATAGAAAAAACAAAAAGAGGCAACCTTATGGTGGTGGGAAAGTGACTGAAACCCAGCCACCAGATCAGGACCAATAATATTGCTGATTCTTTTTTTGGATTTTGGATTTTATCAAGGAGCTCAAAGTAAATATCAGGGGCACTAGACCATATTTGGCAGCAATATTCTAAGCATGGACTTATAGATATACAAGATAGATTCCATAGAGAATAATTGTCTTATATGACACAGTGAACCAACCTTCTTCAGCTGACCTAGCAATAGATTCAATATAGTCTTTCCACATCATATCACCAGAAAATGTGAAGCCTAGAAGGCATAACAAGTCATTTTCCTGGAGGATAGCATCATCCATGCTGATAGAAAGTAGCAATCAGATGAGTCATGAAGAGAAGTTTAATTTTGGAGGCCTTAAAATTGACATGCCATATTTTGTCCCAGGTAAGAATCAGGTCATTTTGGATATCAGCTGTCATTTTGACTCTGTTGGACTGATCAACCTTACTATTGAGGCAGTATAAATTAAAAAAAATTTTAAATTAAAATGTTTTTTTTTTAATTTCAGCATCCCCACTCCTTCATGCATATGTGTAATTATGTCAACATAAACATCACTTTCGTCTGATGAAGTCCTAAAAAGTGAAACATGTCACATGATAAGCTGCCTCACTTTATCATGAATTTTCCTAAAATATGTTTAATGTGTATGTTTGTGTGTAGATATAACACTTTCTACAGTGTGAACAGATCCTTCACTCTAATCCAAGACAAGGATTTTGAGTGCAATACTTTGATACACAGTGTTGAGGCATTGATATATTCTATAGTGCTATGATATTGTGTAAAGATTTATTGAGTTCCTGGTCCCAACAAAACTCTTGAACACTTGTTCATGTATATGTTGTATTTTTTATATAAATGTTGAAATAATGTTTTTTATATATAAAATACTGTTACATCTTGTTAAAGGTCTTAAGATATTGAACTTGCTGACCTTTCATTTGGAAATGTTGAAATTCTAACCAAACTTTTGGTATCTTGTAGATTTATGAACTGTACAATGGTGGAGCCAAGACAATTCAATACAAAGTAGACCTCAGGCCTCTGATTCAGTTGGAGAAGGTAAGTTTCTGATAGAATTTCAAAGCAGCATACAAGATAAAAAGGTTAAGGAGTCTATGGAATTGGCATTCAAATTGGCTTGAATTTTTTGTGACTTTCAATAATCAATGAAAAACATTCCCAAAAATGGTTAAGAAAGAAATGCTCAGATTTCAATATAGTCATTGCTTCATTGTTGGCTAAGAACAGCTGGTATGTTAGAATTTGTCCAGATAAATTATTTTTAGAAATCTTTTCATTCTGTTTTTTTTTTTTTAAAAAAAACTATCATTTTTTTCCATGGGAAACAACAGTTTTAGAGATATTGATAATGAAAAGGACACTTGGACAGTTGGAATATCTAAGGCACGTAATGAGGAAAGAGGGCTTGGAAAATTTGATACTTACAGGACAGATTAAATGCAAGAGGGACAGAGGAAAACAACACAAGCACAGTTTAAGAGAGATAAAAAGAGAAAATTTATTAAAAGAACAGGAAATTGTGGAGAAATGTCCTGAATGTACACAGCACATAGGAGAAGAAGAAGATTATAAATGCTTCTAATATAAATATCTGTATGATGTTTGTAATTATTGGATTAAACATTTTCATTAAACCTTTTGGATCTTGGTGTAAATATTTTCACAACAATGTAAATTTAATAAAATAAATAATATTTAATAGCATATGATATATTTGATAATATATAATATAATTCTGATAATAGTTTAATATAAATATGTCTTTTATTAAAATAATTCTTAGAAATTAATTTCTTTTTTATTAAACTCTCAAAAGTATATTTGATTTTTATAGACCTTTAACCTCAAACTTATTTCATGTATCCCCTTTAAAGTCTTTGAATCAAGTTATACTAAGATGTATCAAAACTATATTAATATTTTATTGACCTTGATTCTAAATTTTATGATCAGTATATATATATATATATATATATATCACTGTTAAAGCATCCTATGTGGTTGTATATATGACTCAAAAGGATGTTTATTGAAGACTGTCACTGTTATATATTGGAATATTTATCATATTATTAATACTATGCAGCTGTATTTTTTAAGGATGTTATAATGACTGATAAAAATATCCTGGCAATTTTGAGGAATTTCTTTTAAGCAAGTTAATGGTGGTTAATAATATCATCATGTCAGGGTCCACAGCCAAAGATACATATCTTCCATTGATATATATTATTTATAACTTACCAGTTTTCCACTAATCTATACTTGTTTTATCAGCTAACCAAATAACTCATATTATAGGAAGTGAGAAGTTCATAGCTACCAAATAGTTCTCTTTGCCAAGAACAACTAAAAGACAGAGTTTCTCTGTGATTTTACAGCATGCATACTTCTTGCATTCATCTTCATTTTAATCTTTGTCAAACAAATCTGTCCGCATCTTTTTTTAAAAGAAAAATTTTCTTTAAAGCAAGCATCATTTCAATGATCTAATCTATCTTTCATGTTCCTTCCGAAGCTGAGAGATGTTGCAGTCTTTGCATTTTGTGGCTCACCAGACACTGTGTTTGGCCTCTTCAGGATAAAGATTACTAGTTTTGTCATGTGCTTTTCAGAGTGGGAAGACAGTGACCAAGTGCTCAGCTGTCATGAATGACAAGAATGTGCCAGGTGAGATGTAAATAAAATGAAAGTAATGGCTTTTGTATAGTTTGCTTGAACCAGACTAAAATCTTTCATTGAAAGCTTCAGCAATGGATGAAATGGACTGGTCTTCAGCTTCAGGGAAACTTGTGTGTGCCATGAGAAAATGGCAGATTTGGTTCCTGCAGTGGTTTGCTATCTATAGAAGTGGAATTTCTCCTACATTCTCTTCAAAGCATTTTGTTCTGAAAAGAAGCATTGTGTTTCTAATAGAAAATGGAGTCATTTTCAGATGAAGAAACTTTCAAATGCTGCTTTGATTGATGGTTTTTGTTCAAAATTTCTTTTTTAAAATGTAGGAATATTTCACTGCAGTATTCTTTTTTTCTTGTTTCTTTTATTATTTACTGATCTTTATTTCTTTATCCATTTTCTGTTTTGTCTTTTCTCTAGAAAAACTACAATCACACAATCTTTGAGTGTATGAATCCATGTGGTACACTTTTCCCTGGGAAAGCTACATCACTTGAATGGAAGTTCTCTCCCCTTGAGTGCATGACATACACAGTAAGTTTCTTTTATTCTTTCTAAAAAATAATAAATAAAAATTAGTTTTCTTCTTATTTTCTTAAAGTTGCCTGAATTTTTGCTGATGAAATTAATTTTACTGAATTTATGAGAACTCATACTTTTATAAACATGCAAATTATTTTCTCAGAAGATTATATATATATATATATTTGTACACACACTGTATTTTGTCATCAAATGGATATTTTGCATACTTGATTGAAGACCACAGAAATATTTATTTAGAATTTTTTCAAATTTAATTTTTCTTATTTTCTTAGAAATATCTTTACTGATGGTTCAAAATTAGTCACTTTCTCCTCCCCCACTTTCTCTCAATCTCTTACTATATATATATATATATATATAGGCCTGATGACTGCATCTAACAAGAAACAGCCTGTCGCCTCTGAGTGTTGACTTCAATGTTCACTTTCATATTTATATTTACATACACTCTATCTCTGATATTGAGCACTTTATCCCATAAATATAGCACACCTTAAAACTATATCTCCTCATATATATGTATATATGTAGAGAGAGAGAGAAAGAATGCGATGGATAAATTGTCGTCTAAATTATGCAAAAAATGAAAATAATACTGATTTCTCATTTTAACAGATATATTTACGAAAATTACACAGAAATATTTTGATATAGTAAAGAATAAATGTGTTTAATAAAAGTGCCATTGCCTTCAACCTTGGCTCAACCTCCTTTAGAAACTCTTGTGACTCTTCAAGATGGAATCCTTGTTTACATTGGTGAATGCTGTTAATCCTTGCCTTCAGTTCATCTTTGGTGTTACAAAGAGTTTTGTTGGTCTCTCAATCAACTGCACCCCACAGATAATAAACAAGAGGGTTGCAGTCTGAAGTGTTAGGTGGCCAGATATAAGTGGTGATCTTGTCACAGAAATTGTCTGACAGCCATGACTGGGTTCTCCTGCTTGTGTGGCATGGTGCAGTCCTATTGTCAGACATAGGGTCTTCCAGCAGCCACCCTCTTGATGCAGGGCAGCACTATCTCCTCAAAGCACTTGATGTAGGCCACTGTGTTGTGTCTGAGGTTCTAAGGGAAGGTAAATGTAAGTATAATGTTGACAACACCATTGATCACTCCAATCACCTGTGTAATCACAATTAGACTCATCAAACTTTTCCTGAATCCAATGCACTGTCTTGAGATTGACACCTAAACACTCTGAAAGTTTTGTATTGGAGTTCCCAATGTGAATGTTAAGCAGTACAGCATGTTATTTCCAAATTTCTGGTGGAATGAATTGCATCATGGTGCTCTTTTTTTCACAGATAGTGCTCAACTGACCCTCCTATAATGTGCAGTCAACAAAATAAAAAATAAACTGTGTGCATGTGTGTAATTTAAAATATAAAATGTCAACATTTTACCTATAGTGCCCAGTATATAACCATAGGAGCCCCAAATGACACTGTGCAGGTGTTGAATTCAGAGTTGTTCTTTCTCTAGAATGTTTGCCATCTAAGCCTATAGGACACAGTATGTCCTGCTGTTTAACCCATGGCTGGTGGGAAAAGAGATGGATTCATACCTTTCCCAAGGCTATTAGCATGTAAGTGAATGTAATGAACTCAACTGGAATTTGAACTCACTCCACTCAATCTGAACGGCTAACTATTACTCCACTATGCCTCATATATAAAATTATATATTTATGTAGAATAAATCCGAAGGAGCAAGGCAAACCTAACTAGGTTTCACCTAAATGGATCTTTAGGTTTACCCTAAAAATTTGTTTAAGTGAAACCTAGGTAGGTTTGCCTGGCTCCTTAGGATTTATTCTAGTTTATCACTCTACTTAGTGTATTAGGCACTCTAGGTCATTGTCTTTTTACTCGTTTTGGGTTTTTTTTTCTTTGGACTTGGAGCTTAAATACTTGACAATTGTTTTGTCTTGTTTTAATGTTCTTCGTTCTTTCTTTTTTATTTCCAATTTTTCCTCAGGTACCGATTTGTTCTACTGCAAGTTGAGCTATCCAAGGTTTTTACAAACGATTACTACCATGTATATATATATATATATATATATATATATATATATATATATATATATATATATATATATACATACATACATACATATATATATATATATATATATATATGTATAATAAGGCAATTCACCCCATTCAAGGTGGGTGTGCCACTAGCATGCAAGGTGCTACAGAAGATTGAGAACAAGAGTAAAGAGGCATGTTTGAGGAAAGGATACAGAGAAGGATGGGAACAAGCTCAGGGAGTCAGATGTCGATTGACATTACACTTGAATATTTGAAGATTATAGTCAACAAGGAAGTAAGTAAGGGGAAGGGAGTTCCACAGACAGGAAGTGTGGGAGAAGGAGCTGTTTAAGAGGAAGAGACTGTTACATTTAACCATTTTGACAGTTTAAGGGGGTGACTGAGATGCCAGTCTAGTAGCACGTTTAAATTCATATGGTCCGGGAACCAGTGAAAGTAGCTTGTTGGAACAGTTGTCATGAAAATATTTGTAGAAGAGACAGAGGGAGGCCACAGCATGTCTGTGGGATAGCAATTGTAGACTAGATGCCAGATCAGGACCTATCATCTTGTATATTCATCTCTGGATTTTGTCAAGGACCTTGAGACATACAGCAGGAGCACCAGATCATATATGACAGCGATATTCCATGCATGGACAGATGGTTGATTTATAGATTTGAAGAATGGGAGAAAACCTTTCTGGCATGATACAGAGAGACAACTTTTCTTGTGGTAGATGAAACTATTGATTCAATGTATATTGTATCGTTTTAAAACAACCAAAGTACAACTATTGGTATAAGGCAAATTTTAGTCGCTGATACCAAAAATGTTATGCAAAAAAGATTCTAAATTCTCAAAGCCATTACAATACAAAAGAAATAACCCACATTGAAAAGTGTATAAAATTTAATATGTGTACAATATATTTAAAATGCATACAAAAATAACATGTATAAATATTCCAATACATGCTTTTCTGTTTAACTGTTACATAAGACATCATTTTAAACTGATTCCAATTCTTATTTCAATTTCATTGATTTAAAAACATCAGGATTTAATAAAAAATAATCTTGTTTATCATACTGGCAAAACCCAGTTCTTGATAATGACTGAGATAGTCAAATGTACTTGAACAAAACAAAAAAAAACATGCACTGTGGACATTTTATTTTTAATTTTAATCCCAATATACAGCATTTCATTCAGACATTGTGCTTCATGCACTTATGCTATTTGGTACTTCAGCTGTGTAAATTTAAGCATACTATTAGATTGGAAACTAGGTTTAATTGTTTTATTGTTGAAATAGTTACTAGTGCAGATATTATTGGAAGGTGTTACTACTAGTACTGGCGTCTACAAAAAATTGAATATAACGAGCATTTATGGAAGTGATAACGAGATTTTGCTTGACATAGTAAAGGTGACAAACGAAGCCGTCCAACATCACAAAAATGGTGACTATGATTCACAAGGAATCATAAAACTGATATATAGCAGTAACAGATGCTGTCTGAAGATAACTTTATAGCCCCAATAAGGCACCTGTAGTTCTACTGTCTCATATCCTGCTAGAACATGACAGACATTCCACAGAGTCAAATCACCCCCATTTCCTCTTTATTCCCCTCAATCAGCTTTTACTCAAGAACTGGTACTTTGTACCCTGATCACAACAATTTTAATCCATTCAGGTCTAAAGTTAACCATTATCTTCCCCACATATCCACATAAACTGTGCTTTTTCTTTCATATCCCTCTACCTCAAGGGGCTCTCGGGAACATCACTGTAAAAAACAACCCCCCAAAAACAGACTCTTGTGTAGATGATTCCCTTAACCCTACAATCTTAACTTCTTAAAGTCAGAGGTCAGTCATTATTTAACTTTCTTTTTGTCATAATCTTCAATTTCCTACCACCTCTTGTTTATTTTTTCATGTCATTCAGCTAATTCATAGTTATCATTTTAACAGTAACTCTCTACCTTGGGTGGCTTTCAAGCCTTGTATTGGGTGGAATTTAATATTCAAAAATGATTCAGACTTTATGATTATAACAATCAAAACAAGCCTGTTGTTCCAAATACTAAAGCATATAATATTTTAACCTTACCATCAAATATGACAGTTTATTTTGATAGCCTTACTATTATGATTAGGTTTGTGTTCATGAGTCTTTTGTTTAAAAATAAATAAATCACTAGGGTTTTCATACAACAAAAAATATTAATAATATTACAGATAAAAACACTTGATGTGATATTCATTTAAGATTATTATGTATTTATTTATTTTTCCTTATTACAATGAAACTGTTAATTCAACTGTGGTCACATCTAGCAACCTACATGGGAATTGGGGGCAAAGTTGCCTCTGGCAGTGAAAGGGTTACTCAGGCTTTCTGTGAGGACATGAGAGATTATTCACTCATTCCTTTTAATTAAACTCCAAACTGTCAAACATCCTGGGTAATTTTGATTGTGTGGCATTGTGAGGAGTTAGCAAGAGTAGATTAGTGTCTATCTTATCAGCATTATCAGTTTCCTCAGGTTAGGCCCCAGGGTTGAGGTGGTGAATTGCAAGTGACAGAGACTAGGGGAAACTTTGAATTTAAATTTCTTTGTCACCTTGCCTTCAGACCAGGCTGCCCATTGAGAAATTGAAAAGTGGATTCCAATTTTAAAATGAGAACAAAGTAAACATTTTTTTTTTCATAAATACAAAATGTTGTTTTGTTTTTTTGATCTTTGACTGCTTTGTTTTAACAATTTAAAAAATACATTCTTTTATTAACTGTTCCAAGAAAAGAATAAAATTGAATTTTGATTCTGTTTATAGTTTATGAATCTTTGTTATGGGAAGTTATCTGAACAAAAATTAACCGACTGAGAACAGGAAATGATTTCCAGAACAATCAATAATTAAAAAATAAGATAGTTTCATTGA